CCAATGCCAGTTGTACCATGTCCAACTTATGATGAATTGCTGCTGGGCTTTCTGACTTTATGACTGGGGGATCTGGTAGAATCCAGCTCATGATGAGCAGCTGTGGCTGCATGGTCAACTTGATGATCCATGTGCAGATGATCTGTCTTTTCCAGAACCTTGTAGCAAATCAGGAGCTGTGTTGTGAAAAGTGTGTCATTCCTGGCTACAGATGGCATGGCCCTGCTCCAGAACCCTAGAGGTCTACATAGTGATCCTCCTCCTAGGCCTTGTCATTAACTCCACAGGCATCATTTCCCACCACAGATACCTCAATACCATGGATTCTGCCAGATCACACAGCATGGTTACTTGTACTACAGTCTGGCCCTGCTGCTGAGTCCTTTCCTGATCTGGGCGCCCAGCAAAACTGGCAGCTTTGTCATCCACGATATGGGATGGAGCAGTATTCCCAGGTGTGAATACACTGCCTCCAAACCCAAAGGGGCCTACCAAGCATTGTGCTTCCTTCTTAATGGGGGCGTAGATGCAATAATTTGTCTTTTACTTTGGAGGGAATGTCCCTGGCATATCCCAGACCACTGGCCCCTAAAAACTTCACTGATATGTGAGGCCCCTGCATCTTCAGTGTGTGCTTGCACTCTCTGCAATTCATGTGTCTTACTGAAGCTTCCAATATACTCGTTTCTTGCTCATCTGGCCCAATTAACTGATGTCTTCAATGTAGTGGATCAATATGATGCTCTGCAAAATGTCTAGGTGGTACAGGTCTTTTCAGACTAGGCTGTGAGAGGTGGGAGAGTTAACAGCCTGGGGCAAGACTGTAATTGTATATTTTTGTCTGTTCCAAGCAAATATGAAGTCTGACTTTCCTTTCTGATAGGGAAGGAAAAGACAAACATTGACCAGATCAATGGCTACATACCATGTACCTGAGAACATGTTAATGTGCTCCAAGAAAGAGGCCACAACAGTGGCTGCAATTAGAACTACCACTTGGTTAATTTTGCTGTAATTCACCGCCATCTTCCAGGATCCTTCTATTTTTGTAGGGCCCAGAGCAGTGAATTAAAGAGTCATAATGGTGATTACTATCGCTGCATCCTTTAGATCTTTAAGGATATTTATCTTTGCCATTCCCTGATTACTAATGAGGTTGGGCATCTTCTAACATCTTTATTGGCTTATTTCCTTTGCTTTCAACTCCCATAATTCATATCATTGGCCTTTTCCAATCATTTATCTAGACCTTGGCACTCACCTTCAGTAGACTGTGAACTTCTTGGGGCCAGAGACTATGTCTTATTTGTTCCTGTGACCCTTGAATCTGGCCTATAAGAACTCAAATATGCACTGAATGAGTGATTTTAACAAGAAGAAAAAGCAGCATTTGATTGGACAACCTGGTCTTCTTGAATCTTGAAACTAACCTCCTTAGCTTATGGGTAAGCCTATCCCTGACAGCAATTATATCATTTTTGTTGATTTAAAAGAAAATACAATGTCATCCAATCAAACCATTGCTCTTTTGAAATCGAAGCAGTGTCACTGAACTAATAAACGCTCCCAAAGCCTTGTTTTCTGGATGGACTCCCTTTGATAGCAATAATGGGCAGTAACAAACTGAGCCTTCGTCCCATATGGCTGTGATAAACACATCCAAAACACATTACAAAGCTCAGAATGAGACTCTGAGGCCTGAGGCTGCAGCAAAAGAAAACCAAGGTTGACAGGCACAAGTGTAAGAACCTGATATTCCTTAAATGAGAAAAGGCCAGCTGCCTGTTCCTTCACCACTGAACACAGTAAATGCATTATCTGAGCTTCCTGCCATTTTTCAAACCTGGGACTCTCTAATGATATCTGTTTGGTCAACTCTGAACTTCATTTGTCAAAAAAAAAAAAAAAAAAAAGAATTATCTAATTTACACAATCTTGAGTGTCTCTTTCCTTTGCCATAAATTGTTGGAGTTTTAAATTTTGAAAATTTTTCTAAAGTATCTGTTTATGTAAGAACATTTTTATCTTTCTAAATGCACATTTTATTAGTTCCCTCACCTCCTCGAAAACTTCCCAGAGCCTCCCATTATCTGAAGGCCAAAGTCCAAACTTCTTCACGAGGCCTCTAAGGCCCTGGCTAATTGTTTTGCCCCATTTCTCTCCACCGTGTCTAAGAACTCTGCCTCCACCACTCCATAGCATTTGCCTTTACTGACACAAGGCGTACACTTTACACCTCTGGGCTTTTGTACACATACTGATCCCTCTGCTAAGAACTATCTATCCTTCAAGACTTGGTTCAAACATTAACTGTCAGTGAAGACTTTATCTTTTCTTAGAATGGTATTAATCACTCCTTTCTCCACTTTCTCAACATTTTAAATCAATATCTACAATAAACACCTAGTATGCTGTACTGTATTTATTTACTTATGTGTCTGTCTCCCCACTAATCTAAGGGCTCCTCAAGGGTAGAAATGAGATCTATTGCCGTTTCTCCAGTGCCAGTCTAGACCTTGGCTCACATAAGATAGGCAACATTAGTTTGTTGAATGAATGGATGAATGAAAATGGAGACTCGGTCCCTACCCAAAGGACCAGGACCTCCGATTTAACCACCAGAAGAAAAGGATCAATAAGCTGCTGAAGTGGACTCTCACAGTAAGTTCCCAAACTTCCTCTAGCAACCACACACATTTAGGAGACATATTCATGTCCAGATTTACAGACCTAGGAACTCAGAGGTCCTAGGAACTTTTTCACCCCATTGCAGGAGCTGAACCTTTCCTTCTTCACAGTCTGGAGCTCAGAAGTGCTTCTTAGTGGGTGGGTCAGCTTGGATGGATATCTGCAAGCCTCCTTTCCTTCAGCAAGCACTCAGAACAGCTCTATTAGTGTTCATGGAAATTCTGCGCATGCATCAAGGCGAAAACAGCCACAAATAACACGGTCTACTTTCCAAGTCTCCAAAGCACATCTCTGCAATCATGTTACTTTCTAACTATCACCACTGAAACCTCTCAGCCGCAGAGCAATTTGTTTTCAACTTACTCTGGGTCCTTAAATTAGCAGAACTTTTTGGTTGCTTATAAATGAAGCTTCCGCCTCCCCGTCTCTCTCCCTGGCTCCAGCTTCTTCTTCCACAGCCTGTTAACAAAAATTAACCAGTTCCTGCTTAGAATCAGTCCATACGCCTTCACCTGTTGTTCAGGACCCTTCACTTTTGGTCCTGGTCCTTGCCTTCCTCTCCAGCCTCATTTCCATCTACTCTTCACCCTACTTTCCTCTACTCCAGCCACACCAATCACCTTCCAGATATTTCACAGGTCTGAGTCTTTCCATACTTTGCTTTCTCCGTCAGGCATAAGCCTCAACCACCCAATTAACTACTTCTGCCCTTTAGGACTGCACACAAGTATCACTTCTTCCAGGAAGTATTACCTGATTAGTTAGATGCCTTTCCTGTACACCCACAAGTAGTCATTCAACTATTCAATAGTTATGGAGACCTAGTTTGTGCCAGGCTGTGCTCTAGGTGCTGGAAATACAACAGGGAACAAAACAAAGACTCTGCTTTCATGAAGCTTAAGTTCAATGAAATTTATTGGGGTAACATTGGTTACTAACATTATGTAAGTTGCAGCTGTACAATTCTGTAATACATCATCTGTATACTGCATTGTGTGCTTACCCCCCAACATCTAGTCTGCTCCCATCACCATGCGTTTGACCCCGTTATCTTCTTTCTCTTCCCCCTCCCCTCCCTTCATCTTTGGTAACCACCATATTGTTGTGTCCATGAGTTTGTGTTACCTTTAGTGGGGAGACAGAATCGAAAGCACAACCACAGAACATGTGGATATGAATAGAACAATACACAGGATATTATGGTAGGGGAAGCATAGGGAATTAGGTAGAGAGTAGCATTTTAGAGAAGAAAATAGCATGTGAATGCTCTGATGGGAGTAACATGGTGAGATTTCCAGTTCTGATATGCCACTCTGTTTCTAGCATAGGGAGATAAATTTGAAGAGGTTAAGACTGGGTGCAAAGAGACCAGCTAGGAAGCCATGTAGCCATGTGGGCAACAGAGGATGAAGCCCTAAAGTGGTACTAGAGATGAAGAAGAGGCAAGAGATTCTAAATATATGTGACAAATAAAACCATTAGGACCTGATTGGGTAAGGACTCTCCCTTCTAGCAAGAATGCCTGGGCTCCCAGGATTGCCAAGTGAGAAAAGACATGTTATAGCTGCGAAGCCCCCGAGACATCTTGGAGATAGCATCTAAAACTGAGGGACCATGTATGGTCTGAAGATACAAATTGGAGTGTCATCTGCATGTAACCATAAGAGAGTGAATGAAATGAACCTGGGAGACTGGATTCAGTCAAACAGACCTGGGTTTTGAACCTTAGCTCTGCCTTTCACTCTCTGTGTGACCTTGAGTAAGCTACTAAGCCATTCTGGGGCTCACTTTTCTGATCTTTAATTGGATATTATTATTAAAATGTCTATCACAGTGCTGAGCACCTGGTGGGTGCTTAATTATGATTCCAGCTCCAGTACATCCTAGCAGTGGGAAACAGAACAAGATACCTTGGCTTGGTGAGCCTCAGGGTCTCATCTGCAGTTCCTGCTAGGTATCCACAGTACTCCGTGGAATGGGTGCTCAATAAATGATTGCTGAATAAATGAAGAAATATAAAAAAACTGAAACAATATCTACTAACACAACAGATGAGAGGATTAAACAGGCAATGTTAATCCCTTCCTTTCTGTCCTTGCTTTTTAACCCATCCCCTATTTTTTTTGTATTTTAAATCTCTCCTTTTTTATTAGCTCCTTCTTTTCAGATTACATACATGCTCCAGTCTCCCTTAACCTCAAAAAACCTTTCTTGGGTCTTACCATCTCTCTAAATTCTTTGCAATAATTTTTCATCTTCACCAACTATACTTTTTCTCAACCCAAAACACTTTTCAATGAACAAACCATATCTTTTTTTTTAGGCGGGGGGAAAGCCCCAGTTTATTATTACTTATAAAAAAAGCAAATATCATTTACATAATTGTTCCAATAGGCTTATGTAGAGGTATTTTATTTTAAAAATATATGTATGGAATTTTTTCACTACAGTAATTCATTTCAAGAGGAATTTCATTATGTATCTTCTACAGAACCTTAAAATGAGAGTGTCACATATTCAAATAAGCCCGAGTGTGGGGATGCTGCAGGCCAGTTCTTCATTAGGAGCCTCAGCATGGGGGCTCCGGAGACCAACACAGAAGGTCTTCCAGGGGGAGCTGACGCATTCAGATAAGTGAGTTCTGGAAAGAAGGGGTAGTTGGCTGGCTCGGGCAGGCTCACCCCTGGGGCAGAGCAAAGAGAACAGACAGGGGAGTTCTGAGAGGCACCAGAGCCATCTAAACTCAGGGGGATGGAACTGTGCGAGCGGCAGCAGTAATTGAGTTTCAGTTACCTGCAGGGTGGCGAAATAAAGTAGTAACTTCATCTGCCTGACGTGGGGGAAGTTTAGAGGTGTCCTTGGCATACTCACAGCGAAATCCAAAATCCGTCACCCTTTGCTGTGTTGGGTGATGGCAACCATACAGCGCTTCCTAGGGACAGCCTGTGCACGTCCTGTTAGGCTGCACCAGCGCACTACAGCTAATGAAGCATTTCCTGCAGCCTGTCTCCCAGGGCTCCCTGCAGCCTCTGTCTGAAGGAATGGCACCATGGGAAAATTTAGCGCAGCCAGCATCAGCCATCATCCAAACTCAAAAGAGTCTTTGAATGGCAGAAAGGGACACATTTTCTTTTCTGCCCAGCCCAGGGTTAGAACCGTCCTCAGGTCATTTTTTGTGGGTCTGTACAAACGTGCCGACTGGCAGCGAGCCGTTCTTCACCTGAGCCCGGATTTCAGCTCGGTGCTTTAATGTGAAGACCAGGGCTCTCACCGTCCGCCGGTAGGGCCCATTAATGAGGCGGGAGCAGAGATGAAACGTTTCCCGCTCAATATTTTCAACCAGTAGGTGATCCATCTAAAAAACAGCAAAATTATCAAATTAGGGCCTTGCAACGCATAAGAATTAAAAACAAGAGAGGCTGAAGCACTCTGCTCAGAGGCTTCCATTAATCAACTGAAATTCAAGGACATCTACTTCCTGTCACAAGAGAAACAGGAAGAGCAAATTAATTCCACCCTGGCAATTAAGGAACAAGGCCATGTGCTTTGTGACAGGGACCTCATTCACAACCCCTGCCGGGTGGTAATATTTGCCATTATAACAGGAAACTGGCCTGAACTAAGCGACGGGTACTGGGCCCTGTACTTTACCAACCAGGAAACAAAGACCAAGGATAATAAATCAGTGTAACAGTTTATACTTTTTGGGGGGTTTGTTTTAAAAGTGCCTTTTAACCCCTTACTGCATCGCAGAAACACTGGATCTGGATCTTAATATGTGTGTAGATCACTTTTCACATTGAATGCTCATAACTCCTATTATCTCATTTTGCAGATGAGGAAATGGGTTCAAGGGTAAAGAAAGGTTCAAGTTCTTACAACTACTAAGAGGCAGAGCTGAGACTCTGACCTGAAGCCCCGACTCCAAGTTCATGCTTCTGCCCTTTCACTGCACTGACTGTCCCCTCAGCATTCTGAGTGACCAGTAGAGTTTGAGGAGATGCTTGCAGGGTCAGCTAAGCACAGCAGACTTAGGGGATGGGACCTGTAGCAATTCCAGGGTGGTTTGGCTCAGGCCCAAGTCCTCCTAAGGTCGCAGACATCAAAGTAGGACAGGTCTGGGACTTGGTCCACTCGGTCTGGATCCAGGCCAGGTTGGGCTGCTGGTCAAGGGGCCCCTCAGCCCCACCTTCCTTTCCAGGCCCATCCCCTCCCCAGTCCTGAGCATCGCCCCGCATGAGCCTACTAAGCTGCTTTCACACACCTCTATCTGCTAGATACTTGTTCCCTCAGCAAGGTACACTTTCCCTAGGAAATACATTCTTATTTGTATGTCAAAACTTAGCTAAAAAGCAAAATACAAGAAAGCAAATCCTAGCTCAGAGGACTGAAAGTTCTTCTTTGGGCTGCCACATGTCCCGAGTTCCCCTTAGTCATTATCACAATATACTACAATTATCCATTTTTTGGATAGTGAGTTCCTTGAATACAGTGAGTTCCTTGAATACAGGACACAAATTTTTCTCTTACTTGCTTTTCCCCCTTCATTCAAATATTTATTCAGCACTTACTATGTGCTAGGCTCTGTGCTTGGGGAGAGGGAAAAGCAGTGAATAAGGCTGGCACTGTCTGTGACTTCATGGTGAGCACAGGCCAGTAAGAAGCAGTAGTGAACATGACTACAAGTGCACCAAGTGCTAAGAAAGAGGACAGGAATACATGCTGGGCACAGAGCTACAGCAAAGGGACCCAACCCTGGAGGGCAGTGCCTGGCTTTGGAAGGAAATGCTGTTTAACTTGAGACTTGAAGAATGAGTAGGGTCTGGCTAGGGTCTATCACAAAATAGGCATGTGCTTTGTGATAAATTCACTGATCTGTACATATATCTCTTGTGTACTTATGCTATATTTTATTTACCTTTATTATTTTTTTGGTTAATCCTCACCCAAGGATATTTTTCCCATTGATTTCTAGACAGAACGAAAGGAAGGGAGGGAAGAGGAAGACAGTGATAGACACACACACAGAAAGAGAGAGACAGACAGACAGACAGACATTGATGAAAGAGAAACATCAGTCAGTTGCCTCTTATATGCACTCTGACTGAGGAGCAAACTTGCAACCTGGGTATGTGCCCAAGAATCGAACCCACGACCTTTTGGTGTCTGGGACAACACTCCAACCAAGCCACACTGGCCAGGGCTTACACTATTTAAAAAGAAAAGTTTAAGAAAAAAGTGTACCAAAAATAGAAAAGAGTCACCTAATACTTGATAAAAAAAAAAACCCTACTATAAGGGACAGACCGAAACAAACAGAAAAATGAAACTTAGAAGAAATAAGGACGGCAGGGAGCAGAATAGGACTGAAAGAGAAAAAGAGGGACAGAGAATGAATATGTGGGCCCAGACATCTGCCGAGGTAGAGCAGACAAGACCTTCCAGGAAGTTTGTGGTCCTGATGACTGATCTGGCTTGTGCTAGGGTGAGTGGATGTGGCTTGGCTCCATGGCTCTCCAGAACCCAGACATCTCGAGCTCTTCATGGCCTCCTGAGTGGGCAGCGAACTAGCCCCTGGCCTGAGGCAGCCCTGGAAGCAGGTTACTTTAGGAGGTTGAAAGGGTGGCCGGTTGTCTGGCCAGCATTTGTCCAGCAACATTCGCCAGAGAGGCTCCTCAATCCAGTGTGAGGATGGTTAGTCACTGTTTAGAGAGTCACTTAAACAGTTAAGAAAAAGGTGGGGCCATAACCGGTTTGGCTCAGTGGATAGAGCGTCGGCCTGCGGACTGAAGGGTCCCAGGTTCGATTCCGGTCAAGGGCATGTACCTTGGTTGCGGGCACATCTCCAGTAGGGGGTGTGCAGGAGGCAGCTGATGGATGTTTCTCTCTCATCGATGTTTCTAACTCTCTATCTCTCTCCCTTCCTCTCTGTAAAAAATCAATAAAATATATTTAAAAAAGAAAAAAAAGAAAAAGGTGGGTGTTTTTTAGGGGAATGGTTGTTGGGGGAAAAGGGTATATATACTTTTGCAAAACAGGTCATGGCCATTCCACTGAATTATTGTATATATTTAAAAAAAGAACTCTGACAGTGCCTTGAAATTTGCATAACTGGATACTCATACATACTTTATTTAGCAAACAGTTACTGATTTGCTACTCTGAGTCTGGCCTGATCTGGGTATTAGGGAGACTGAGCAGAAAAGACCTGCCCCCTACCATCCAGGAATCACAGTCTAGAAAGGCGACTGCACATACACAGAAAACCGCTGGGTAGTGGAATAGGTGTTCTACCAGCAATGTGATGGGAATGGGGAGCAAGCATGTAACAATTCTCATTCATGCCTTCTTATTAAATGAAGGCCAATCAGAATGAAGAAGTGAAGAAAAACATCAGTGATATTAAAATGTAAATTATACAGGATAATAATTCATCATGTACCTTTTTGTATAAAAGTTAATTGCACAAAGTGAATGAACTTAAAACTGCCCTTGGATAATCCAAACCAATCCAAATCGTTGAGTCCTTTCCAATGGGTCCTAACCTGGTGATTTAGGTAAGCCCTTTGGGACTTAGCTAAAGGACCAGAGTCTCACTGATACCTTGAGAAGAAGGGAGTTTTGCTGTGAGATGCACCAGTAAAAATGGGAATAGGAACGCTGCAAGAAACCTAGGGATTCATTTGGGGACCATATTCCTTCTCTGTATCTTATGACCTTCCTGATCTCCTCCCCATAGGTTTTTGCTCCTCTCCATTTGCCTTACTCACTGCTCCCCATATTCTACACATTTCTACCCCTGCTTCCTCAAAACTCCTCCAACATCTGTTCCAACACTCCCACTGTTGTTTTCTTAGCATTTCCTAGTTCACATGTCTCAGAGACAGAGAATCTGATTTACCTTCCCTATCTATTTGTACCTGTGAGTTATTCAGTTGTCCAATCCTGGACAAATTGGTTATAGCTTGGAGAAGATATAAAACATGATCACCTAGAATAAAACATGACCACCTAGAGCTCTTTCATCAAGGATTCTGGCCTCAGTGGGAAATGGTGCCATAATCAATTAGTGATGTCTGCCACATCTGTAAGCCCTTTAAAAGCAAGGGAACAGGTCTTTTTTATGTGTGTACCTTAAATGCAGAACTTCCCATGTTGTACTGTAACTGTTTATTTGTCTATCTCTCACAGAAGCCTGTAAGCCCTTTTAGGGATGATACTGTGCTGGATCCATTTCTAAATTCCCCATGCCTAGCATAGGTACAAGCATATGGTAAGAGCTCAGTAAATATTTGTTAAATGAATGTCCTTCTCCCCTACCCCCCAACATATCCTCCCTCCTTTCCTGCTCTTTCAATAACATCCTACACATAGCAAATAAGATATGAAATATAATGTTTCTATTTTATATGTATTTTCAAGTTAGCAAAATTCTACCCCTCCTGCAAAGGCCAATTCAATTGCCATCTCTTCCATAAAACCTTCCCAGATTCCCCTATCAGATTTCATATACTGTCCTTTGTGTGTCTACACCCGTGGTCAGCAAACTGCGGCTCGCGAGCCATATGTGGCTCTTTGGCCCCTTGAGTGTGGCTCTTCCACAAAATACCACAAAATACCACGTATGGGTGCGCACGTATAGTGCGACTGAAACTTCGTGGCCCATGCGCAGAAGTTGGTATTTTGTGGAAGAGCCACACTCAAGGGGCCAAAGACACTCAAGGGGCCAAAGAGCCGCAGTTTGCCGAGCCGCAGTTTGCCGACCACTGGTCTACACCATTTGCTTGTACCCATTTCAGATATATTTCATCTTGCCTTCTATTAGTTAGTCATTTACAGGCTCTCCACCAGGAGACAGTAAGCTTTCTTAAGACAGGGAATGCAACTCACTTATGTTTGCATTCTCCCTGGCACTAGCAGTAGTAGTACTAAACATCTATTGAATTGAATATCCACTAGAAGCAAACTTTGTGTGAGTTTTAGCACACAGAGCATGATTGGGTTTGTACCTATCTAACCACACTCCTTTTTGACCACTTAAATACATTTATGAAAGAGCTGGTCAAAGCCAGAGGTGCAGTCTGAGGCCATTAAACAAAGAAAAAACTAACAGTCCCATATGGGGACGTACCCCTGACCTGGATCTCATTAGCACCATCTGACAACCAACTGGGCCAACCAGCCAGTGTTTCATAACTCTTAATGATACAGGCTCACTTTGAGAATCAGGTTCATTTTTTTTAATGACATAATAGGAAAATGATCACAGGCCATGAGGTAGGAAGGAGAGTGGATAATGAGGAAGGGGAAGTAAGAGAATGACACCACAGGGGATGTTCATATGAGGAAAGATCTAAAATGTAGGGAAGAACAAAGAAGATCCGGAAGGGAGAAAGTAAAGGGGAATGGAGCCAGGGTCTCAACAATGGAGTTTTTATTCATCTATTCCATTATTCCAAGAACAAGGAAACAATCTATGAATCTAGAAAGCAAGATCTATACAGTAATAAAGAGATACATTTGGCTGTGTGTGTATATTCCTCATCTGTGGCTTTCACTACAAAAGAATATAACAAAAACAAATAACATGAAAACATTTATTTCCTACAAAAAATGTAATGAGTAGATCTGTAAAAACACATGCTAGGATCAAATTGTAAAAGCTTTTTAGTCGCCGGGCCAGTAACTTACCCAATGGTTTACTACTGCCTGATAAAGTACATTTGTGGAGACTGGATGTCTGATTTGAATGCACTCAACATTGGTTACTGTCAAAGACCAGATACTGGATTAGATGGGTCACTGATTTACCTTAATATGGAAACGTTTCAGATGATAATAGGTGCTAAGAGTTAACTTTTATGCAAAAATGTTTATAATTCTTCGACACATCAAACTGATCAAACTATTATCAAATACTATTTATGCAAGAAAAAAAAATTGATTTTTTTTTTTTTTTGGCCAAGGAAGAAAGAAAGATGCGTACTTTTTAATTTTTAAAATTTACTCTTTGGGAACAAAACCACTCAACTATGCTTAATCTGATATTTTTTCCAATTATGTTGGAAAGCACTAACGAATGTATCACTTTTTTAACTTTGCTTTGTAACACTTGAGTGCTTACCACTTGATGTGCCATTTAAAGGATAATTAATGGATAAACTAAAAGGATAATTATTATGGAGTTTAATATAGTAGGCAAACTGCTCATTAATCCTTACAAGCATTGCTTCGTTATTATCATTTACTTAAAAATATACCACAGGGAACTGGAATTTAACACCACATTAACTACATATTATATACCCACATTCTATGTTTCTGTAATAATTTTGGTTTATTTAAAAAATAAACTTTATTTAAAATATCAAATAGCAAGTCTTGCTGGCTAATCAATATTCTGGAAAGTTATTTATTTAGACTTACAACCTTCATATTTTTTTCTCTCTTCCAAGGGCTTAATATTCATATTAAAGCCTCCTTTAGGAAAAGAAAAGCAAACTTAACAGCATAGCAATTTGCTGAGCTATCAAATAACACTGAAAATTATAAAAATGAAAAAATAACTATATATAGAAAAGGATATACAAAATGACACTAACTGATATTGATCAAGATGAAAAAGACAACATAAATGTAAATCATTGTTAATTTTCTGCAATGTTGTTTAAATAATCAATAAAACTATCTTATGGAACATTTGGCATATAATTGGCTCTTAATAATTTGGGATAATCATATTATAGCATTCATTTAAAAAGTTATAATAATTTACCAAACAGAAAATGCACCAAAATGCTAACAAGATTATATCCGGGTGGTAAGTTCAATGGTGATCTTATTTTTCCTTTCAATGTTTTTCACATTTTCTAAGTGTGTATTTAAAAATCCATAACTATATTTTAAAAAGTAAATAATATACCATGAGTTCATTTGCCCTTCTTTTGTGGATACATAATTGAGACAGAAAGGTTAAAATTTTTTTCAGAGAATATAGTAACAGATCTAGCATTTAAATCAGACTTCTGAATTGCTTCCTTTGTTAATAATATTAAATTATTCTTAAAGAAACTTTGATAGGGATACCCTAAAAAGAAGAAAATATATAAATGTTATATGTCTGATTTTTCCAGAGTATAAACTGACATATAAGATTTGTTTGATGATGGTGATTAATATTATTGTTAATGAGCAAAAATCCTTCTAGCATGCCACTAATGTCACCTGAACTGTTGGCTATGAAGATGATAGGAATTATGTCTAGCCAATTGATTATATGCTTTAGAGTGTGGACAAAAAAATGGGGGAGTAGAATCTTTTCAATAGACAGCTATTTCTTTTGCCACTGATATTCCATAACAGAGTCCATCCCAGAATTTTTGCTTCAGTGGCAAGAGAACAAATTTTAAATGGAAGGAGCCCACCTAGTCAATGTGGCTCAATGGTTGAGTGTCAACCTATGAACCAGGAGGTCAAGGTTCAATTCCTGGTCAGGGCACAAGCCTGGGTGTGGGCTCGATCCCCAGTGGAGGGTGTGCAGGAGGCAGCTGATCAATGATTCTCTCTCATCATTAATGTTTTTATCTTTCTCTCCCTCTCCCTTCCTCTCTGAAATCAATAAAAATATATTTAATAAAAATAAATAAATAAAATAAATGGAAGGAGCCAACATTCATTAAGTGACTTGTAATCACTATACTATTCTTTTGTATAAATAGTCCATTTACTCTTTCCAATAACCTTAGGAGGTAGGAACAATAATCATTTTACAGTTAAAAAAAAATCAAGCCTCATGTTAAAGGATTTGCCTAAGATGCCACAGCTAGTACGTACAGCCAGGGTTTTAATTCAGGTTTGCTAGTTCCTTTCTACAACACTGTCTCCCAGAATGATTACAAATCCAGAACCCTTAAAGAAAAAAACAGAATAAAGCCACAGCACTAAGACTATGAAAGTTCATTTTGAAAATGTGAGGCTCATTTAACCAAGAGCTCCTAATAATCGCATGCCAACCAGACATTACCTCTAATTCCAACGCTTCTGAGAGTAATTTCTGGGCGTTTTTCCTAAGTGCCTCGGTTTTGGAATCACTTCGGACTTCAATAGAAGGTCTATCTGCATGTTTCTCAATGAAAGTTCTCCACTCAGTGTAAACTTCTTTGGCAAGACAAGCCACTTCTGAATCTGAGTGTTGACGCATCTTATTCACCGTGTGACCTGGAGCAAGAGAAGAAAAACCAAAGGAAAGGTTGTTCTGTCTTCTGAAAAGTACAGGACTAGATGGACTGATGTGTGTATGGCACTTAGAAAGTCATTCACATCCCTAAGGATTTTAAGGCTCTTGTGCAAATGAAGACCATTTCTCAAACACTGGGGTTACAAGATAATCACTGGGGGAGAAGCACTGGACTAGCCAATGTATTAAGTCATAAAATAGAAACATGACCAAAAGATACTTACAACAGAACAACTAAGGTGCCAACACCTTAATCCAAAAATTGCAATAAAAGAAATGAAGTAAGCATTTTTCTTATCTTTTTGGTACATATTATATTTCAGAACAACCAAATAGCTCTAGCTATTGAAGAAATGTTCTTTGTTGTTGTTGTTAGTCCTCACCCAAGGATATTTTCCATTGATTTTTTTAAGAGAGAGTGCAAGGAAGGGGGAGAGTGAGAGAGAGAGAAACATCGATGTGAGAGAGACACATTGATTAGTTGCCTCCCGCACATACCCCGACCGGAGTGGGGATTGAGCCTGCAACCAAAGTACATGCCCTTGACCAGAATCAAATTCTCGGTCAGTCCATGGGCCAACATTTTATCCACTGAGCCAAACTGGTTAGGGCGAGGAAATGTTCTTTATTCAGCTAATAAATGTGAAAAGATTGACAGAATTTAAAAAAAAATTGTAGGCCATGATGAAATAATTCACTCAGGTGCTAATCATCAGTAGATCAATTCATTCAATAGAAGGTTGATGGGAAAATTTATAATGGAGGAATGAGCTGTCATGACCTGAACCACTGATCAATCAGCATCTCTGAGAGTGGCACCATCAGACACAGGTAGCACTTCACAGCCCTACCTATGAAGTATTCTTGCCCCTCCTCCCAGAGAACAGATGAACCAGAATCCAATGAATCATTCAATGCTAACTTCCAGTTTATAGAAAATATGAGAGGCAAAGGAATAGGTTATAGTATGAGGAAACAGACAAATTCAGAATGTGGCATATTCTACAGGACAACAGACCTGGTTTCTATAATAGTAAATGGCATTTCTTAAAAAGGGGAATAAGGTCATAGACTGCTTTAGATTAAAAGAGTCTTTTGAGTCCAAACTACCAAATGCAATACGTTTGGAACCCCTTAATGCCATCTTCTACAGAAGCCAGAGAGGTCTTTATTTAACTTTATTTTCTCTTTTTAGGGATATTTTTTTCTAAAACATAAACCTGACCATTTCACTGCTCTACTTAAATCTTTCAATTCTATATCCAAATTCATATCTTGTCACACAAGTCCCTTCAATCATCTGCCACCCTCCCACCTGCTTTCTAGCTTCATTTCCAGCTACCATCCTACTGTCATCTATACTCCAGCTACTTGTAGCTCCTAAAATACTTCAATATTTTGAAAGTCTCTGCTTTTGAACATATTTTCCAATAAACATTCTGTCTGCCTGGAATACTCTTTCTTCCCACTTCATCTGGTTAACTTCCATTCTGTCTTTAAGACTCAGTACAGGAGTCCCTTCTCTAGGAAGTCTTCTTTAACACCCCTACGCTTGGTTGTATGCCTCCTCTGTGCTTCCTTAGCACCTTGGGCTTTTGTTTATCACAATAATTATAATTAGTTGCCATTAGATCAGTTATCTCTCTTGTCCACCAAAGAGAGCTCCTTGAGGTTAAGAGCTGTGATTTGTTCATTTCTGTACCTCTAGCAGACAGCACCATGGCAGGAGCTAGGGATCAGAAGAGTGGTTCAATAAGTGTTGTGGAGAGATAGGCCCACATGAAAAATAACATATTTTTACTAAAATATGTAAAACAAGGGGAAAACTACCATATTATATGATGAAAAGTTAGTAAAAGAATGCCAATATTGAAGCTAATTTGTAAATATAATGTAATCTCAATAGGCTGTTTGTATTAGAAGACAACCAATATTTATAGACTTATTATAGAAATATAAATGGGTAAAAGTCTAAAATATTTTAGAAAAGAGGAATTATCAGCACTTAGTCTTATAAGATATTAGAGGCTTGGTGCACGAAATTCATGCATAGGTAGGGTCCCTAGGCCTGGCCAGAGATCAGAGCCAATTGGGGCCTTCCAGCTGTTGGCCAGGGCCTTCCTTCATCCACGCCGCCCTCTGGTGGTCAGCGTACGTCATAGTGAGCAATTGAACTCCTGGTCTCCCGGTCGAACACCCAAGGGGACACTTTGCATATTAGCCTTATATAGAGAGAGAAGATTAGGACATATTATAAACAACAATAGTTAAAATTATATGAACTAGCACCAGAAAATAAACCTAATGAATAAAAAAATGAAGCACAGAAATAGACCTCATTATATACAAGAATTCAATATATACTAAAAAGAGTCATCATTGTACAGAATGAACTGGTGATTATAATGAATCAGGGACACAGAAAGGGAATGGACAGACTATTCTTGGGGGGGAAAGGGGAATGGGAGATGCGGGAAGAGACTGGACAAAAATCGTGCACCTATGGATGAGGACAGTGGGTGGGGAGTGAGGGCGGAGGGTGGGGCAGGAACTGGGAGGAGGGGAGTTATGGGGGGGAAAAAAAGAGGAACAAATGTAATCTGAACAATAAAGATTAAAAAAAATAAAAAAATAAAAAAAAATAAAAAGAGTCATCATTGAACAAAGGGAAGCAGAAAACGGATTTAAATTTGGGGAAATAGTCAAAACCATTTGAAAAGTTTATCAGCTTATGCCAACTGTATAGCCCAGTGGTTGGCAAACTCATTAGTCAACAGAGCCAAATATCAACAGTACAACCATTGAAATTTCTTTTGAGAGCCAAATTTTTTAAACTTAAACTATATAGGTAGGTACATTGTTATTAACTTAATTAGGGTACTCCTAAGCTGGCCTTTGCTAAAAACGTCCTCAATCTGATTGAGGTACGTTCGCTGAGGTCAACCCCTTCCAACTCTCCCATCCTCAACTCGTCTTGTATACTTGTTTCATCTATCTCCTTTCCGAAAACCAACATCTGCGCATGGACCACGAAGTTTCAATCGCACTGTACGTGCGCGCCCGCACGTGGTATTTTGTGGAAGAGCCACACTCAAGGGGCCAAAGAGCTGCATGTGGCTCGTGAGCCGCAGTTTGCCGACCACTAGTATAGCCTAACACTTAATGATTCCCTTACCCTCCACATTTGCTGAAGGCCCATCTCTGTATGCTAGGCACTAGTCATGCAGGGCTGAACAAGAATATGCTCCTGCTTTTAAGATTCTGTGAAGGGCATCCTGCAGGTGAAAAAGAAATATAACTCTGAAGGGAAGACAAGAGTCTTTAACTTCTCACTCTAACCAATTATCTACCTAGAAATTTCATCTAGCCATTCTACTGCTCAGGGAAAGGAATACATCAACACTCCTCACAAGGAGAGGAAGCGAAATATGCAGAACACTCGGAGTAAATGTCTCCAGGTGCTTCCTAGCTGGCAATGCTTAGTGAGGTGTTCTAATACACACATCACTTAAAAGCTGGTCACTACTCAATGCTTTCCTTTTCTGAGCAGAGTTCTCTATATTCTTGAGATTATTCATTTAGCAAGCAAAATTTTGTTGGTCACTGTTATAGATGCTAAAAATACAAAGATAAACAAGACACTGGAGGACCTCAAGACCTAAATTCAGGGCATTTTAATACTTTTACTAAGTACCTACTTTATGCCTGGTGCTGAGGGTACAGAGATGGAAAAGACCCAGTCCCTGGAATTTAACCTACACTCACCTTGCGCCAAGGTGTGCAAAGAAGATATGTGTACAAAAATATTTATTCCAGTACTGTTTGTGATAGTAAAAAGCTAAAAGCTCATCATTAAAGGTTCACTTTGTTAAATAAATTATAGTTCACTCAAACAATAAATATTTTGCAATTATTGAATACTAGAATAGCTCAACATGTAGTAACATAGAAAGATGATTAATTTATTCAGTTAAGTGGAAAAAACAGGTTCTCAGAACATCCACAGTATGAGCCAATATTTTTTTCAATTACTTTTGTGCACACATATAAACACATATGTGTTTATTTGCAGAGGGAAAAGTCTAAAAGAATTTACAATGAAATTATTAGTGAGTCTCCTCTGAGTCGTGGGACTGGGTGTGCCTATGCAGTCCAGCTCACAATCCTGTGGGTGGGCTCAACCTGTAAGCAATCCTAACAGTGCGAGCTGTGCTGTAATAGAGGTGCATTCAGGCTGCTTTGGAACAGAGATCCTTCTGTCTATCTGTTCCCAACCTTACCCTCTTCTCTCTCCAAGAAAGGCACTATTGATCCAGCTTTATACATGAGAACTGAAGACACAGAAATCCCTCAGAGTCCTCTATTTGTCGAACCAGTGGACCTTCTCCAACCTCATGTACCTCATCCTTCAATAGCATCTGACACTGCTACTTTCTTCATTCTGAAATATTCTCTCCCACTGCTCTTTGAGATACCACCTGTTACTGGTTCTCTTCTTCCTTCTCTATCTCTTCTGCTGGCTGCCTTGCTCAACCTTTATCTGTGAACCCCAGCTGGGGCGTTGTCCTTGGGCTCTTCTCTTATTTCTCCACCTGCCTTCCCTGAGTAATCCCACCCACTCCTGTGGTCCAATTACTATACGCAAGCAGATGACTGCCAAATATGTATCTCTAGCCCAAAGGCTCTCATTGAGCACAAGACCCAAATTCCAGTCCCCTTTGGACATCTCTACTTGCTTATTTTGCAAGCACCTCTAACTCAACATTTCAAAAATGGAAATGGAAATCATTATTATCCCCCTCAGTCCCTCACACAATGGCACCACCATTCACCCATCATATTAGGCTCCTTAACATCTATTGTATCTTTCCCTTTTCCTCCTCAGCTCCCTCTTCATCCTCACTGCTGCCCTGATTCACGTCCTCATCACCTCTCCACAGGTCTATTGCAATGATTTATTAACCAACCTTTGTTCACACCC